GATGTTAGAGGACCATCCTCAAACCGCATCTGGCCAAGGGTTTTCTTCCAACAAGGATTTGAATGTACAACAAATGTGATGTTACTGGCCTATTTTTCGTAAAAATTGGTTTGAACAATTGCTTGAAACATTTTTCAATACTTCAATATTTTCGTTGAGAAAGCTAATATCTTTAAATCTTCTAGATTGCCCAGAAACAACATACCCATCTTCTTTTGTTTGTTTTTTTAGTTGTTAAGTTTGTCAGTGTAGATAAGCTTGTAATTTGCGCTAGATACTTGCATTTTGCATTGCAACATTTTGCACCTACGTTTACACTTTTCAACCAGTAGAAAAAAATAAGTAAAATGACAAGTCTGGACGATACACTGAGGATGGCGATACGCCGACTGACCGGCGGAATATCTCTTTCGCTTTAATATTATCCCCGACCCCGATTGTTCTTGCAGTCGGGCATCTCTTCAGATTGTGGATCACCTTCTTCTGAAGTGCGACGCAGTGATGGATGCCAGGCTTCCGTTATTAGCAACACTTGGTGGTCAAGGGCTTAAGTTGGCCGCCCCCAACAAAGTCATGCTTTTCGGAGGCCGAAGTGCTACTTATGAAGTCGGTTTCGGGAATAATGGCGTACTTGTATAATTAATACTTTACATTATTCTAAATAATATCTAACAGTTAAAAACAATTATTAAGTTATTTGTAATTATGTCATTTATTATTAGGAGTTAATACCATTAAGTTCAAAAGAAAAGAGTCCGTAGTAATCCATTTTTTAATTGTAAATATGCTTTGTAATTTTTAATTATGTTATTGTTATTATGTTTAATTCATGTAACACCTAATGTATGGGGCATGATGTACAATAAAATTTTAAAAAAAACCGTCTGACTAACAACAAGGATAGGCAGACCAAAACGGTCGGAAAATCTCCCCAATAATCTTGCATTATTTTTCAAACAGTTTTAGTTATTTTAATTGAAAAAATGGATAATATAAATGTTTTCTTTAACTTTAGCTAAAATAAGAGTACAATTTGTACTGTACTATTTTGATAATAATTCAGCATAAATCCTATCAATCTCAAACTGTTCAGTATTTAACCATAAACCAAAAATTGTAAAAATCATATCAATTTTTAACTAGACACATATTTTATTAAAAATACTTTCCCAATACTTTCTCATTAAGCTACTACTTACCTATACATTTTCGCGGTTTTTATTGTCAAATAATTTCTTTGTTTCTTTTTTGTACATGTAAAATCACTAACAGTTAAACACTTGCAAAATCTCAGGTTATTTTTAGTGCTTATTTTTGTTTTATGGTTAATACATGTATGTTAATTCATGTAATAGCTAATGTATGGGGCTTGTTGTACAATAAAAAATTTACAACAAAAACCGTCTGACCAACAACACAGCAAGGATAGGCAGATCAATTTGCCAGCCAAATTAGCTTCTAATAATGTGCGATAGTCTCATTCACGCTAATGAAAAGCTAAATAAGAAACCAAACATTTTAAATATATTTTGTAAGCTTTTCTAAAAATAACAGGGCAATTGTTCCGAAATATTTTATTATATAAAACATATTAAATTACATTTGTAAAATGAAATAATAAAAATTATAGTTTTGAAATATATTTTGCGATATTTGTTGTTTTTATAAAACGTACTTTAAAACACGTGTTTATCGTTCTTTTATTCTCTTCCTCAACCATTCACTTGCACTATTTTTCATTCTTTCTTTATCTGCGACCTGATAATGAAGGTTGCTGAGTTGCAAACGCGCACCCTTTCCGCATTCTCTCTCATTACAACTCTCTCGCTCTATCTATCTTTCTTTCGCTCTAACCCACATTTATCCCCTTTCACATATACAGTTTCAATTAACTTATTTCCTATTTAAATGTATTCACTCAAGTAGGGCGGTGGAGTTCTTGATAATCGTAAAACATCCTTTACATTATATAAATAATCTCATGGGGTCGTCAACATTCGACCATGCAGCAGTCTCACATTACACATTCACGCTGCTAAATACATTCACACACAATAAACACAAAACGATTTCTATGGATATACAAAAGCCAAGTTTGCTTCCCAAAATAATAAAAGAAATAGATTATTTCTTTGAACAATTCTTTCCATATTTGAATTTTCCAAAAGCCCTAGTTAAACGACGTTTTAGTAGTCGTAAAATCAAACGTTTATTCGTTATAGTTTTTCAATTTGTTATTTATTTTAGCATAAAAACTATAAAGTAATGGAATATATATTTATATTTTTTTTAACGTGCGGTATAAATAAGAAGACAACCTTCATTCTATTACTTTTGCAAGATTATTTAACTTAATATTCATAAATTAATTTCCTGCAACTGATAATCATATTCATTTATTTTATTTTAAATCAAGTTTTTATGTTTTATCTTAAGATTTAGCTAATACTTTCAAACCAAACTTGTAAAATATGTTATTGACAAAATTAACAAAAAAAAATCTAATTTGTGTTATACAGTTATTTTCCAAATAACAAAAAAATCCTAGTTTTTTATAATCAAAATACGATTTAAAATAAATATTTTATTGTTATATACTCTCGCAACCACCGAAAATCATCACCTGAGAAAGGTCGCATCCCGACGAATTCCCTAGAAACCTCTGCGACTGATAGACGATGGCCGCGAGATCTCAAGGAAGTGATGATTATGATAGTGAAAATTATAATAACAAAGATAATTAAAGAGATAATATGTGAAATCACTGGAGTACTGCTATTGGGTAATTTCTGTTATTGTTAATTCTGAATACATTTCCTTTCTCACTGTTACATCTTACCTATTTGAAGGTTATTGCAAATCACTACAAATAATAAAAAATAAAATCGTAAAAAAAATAAATTTTCTTCCGTGCCAATTGAAGGATAAAATTGAATTAAAAATCAAAAACAAAATATGTCTATTTTTTCACCTAGCTCAAAGTTTGTAAACAAAGGAAAATATTTTGTTTTCCTTTCAAACTCCCTCTCCTGTATAAAATTGGTCTATGTTGACGGAGGAGTAATATAAAACTAACTAATTCCCGTCATTTACTACAACAAATTTTCTGTTGAAAATCGGGCGATTCAGCCAATTAGGAACAACAAATTGTTAGTCCTGAACCAACATCAACCCTCGTCTATGAGTTTTTTCCCTACAACCCTCTTATGAGTTCCAAAGGATACTCCTGTTAAATATGACGTATTTGAGTGTATAACTGTTTTCTTTTATTGAATATGTTGGTATAAAACGAAATACTAATATAGAATTGCAAAGAAACTATTATATATAAAAGGTCAATGATAAGGCGAATTTAAAAGATATAAAAGCAAGTTCCTTGATCATTCTTTCAATAAATATACCCATTTTTGAACTATTTCTAATGGATGGTTTGTATTTGTTACAAAAAATAATCGTTAAAAATTGTTTTAAAGTCCTGATGAATCCCATTTCTCGAAAGTTTAAAGGAGGAATTGAGTGTTTTTTCTTTCTTTAAAATTCGACTTATCCCTGGTTGTTTTATATACAATTAAAATATTAAGGCTGACAACCTGAAAATACTAATATAGAACCAAAATAAAAATATTATTTGAATATCTGAGAAAGTATCTAGAAATTGACAAAACAGTACATCATAAACGACTTCCACAATTTAGGCAGATTACACAGGTTTTACAAATATTTTACTCAATCTTCACTTTCGGATCATACTTGATTTACCGCACCCAGTTTTTAATGTCAAACCATTGATTCTCTCCATAAACTTTAATAATCAGCGTTATTTGGATTATTTTTTTTTAAATATCGAAGTGTAGTAGCAGGATTAATTGAATAAATCGGTCAAAGACGATACACAACCTGATAAATGAAATCTAACGAGCCGAAGTTTAAGACGTGCTTTTTGCGTAAAGTGTGAAGTCTTAAATACACTGTTTAACTTAAATGACCGTAAATCAAGACGAGGTGGAAACACACCCTATTCTGGCCGAGGGAGGCTTTATGGGCCACCTGTTAGGATCCAACATCGTTCAATTAATCCGATCTAGCGGTCGGCAATAATCGTAGCCCATTCCGTAGTATTTGAATTGTTCAAAGGGTCCATTACAAAAGAAAATCATAATCCAAGATGTATTGTTTTAGTTATGTAGGAGTTATTTTAAAGAAGTAAAATTACTTTATTGTCGATTCATCCCGTTCAAAAGCTGGCAGATGGTTTGTGTTAACTCATTTTTTAAGCAAAAGGATGGTCTTTGAGCTATTCTTTATGTTAAAAGAGTAGTTGACAGAAAGCCAGATTTTGGACCATTCTTCAAACTGTCCATTTGATTCTTTCATCGCTACAAACAAATTGACCTGTTTTCTTTTATAAACATTATTAATAAACCAGAGCATGCTTATGTGTTTTCTGATATATAAAAACTCATTTCTTTCATAAATACGGAAATAATATCTAAAAAGCAACAATTAGTTTTTGAATTCTTAGCCCTGGCGTTATATATATTATCGCCTAACTCTTACAGTATGAAAAATTAACAAAATGTAAGTTGAAAAAAGGTTATTTTTTAATTAAAATTATTTGAATGAATTTTTCCCGTGTTTACGATAATGTAGACTTGTTTTCTCAATTAATTTATTCTTTTCCTTCAAAACAAAACTAACTCTTATTAAAAACAAACCCCAAAATAATATAACTTGAAAATGATAGCTAACTTATTCTCTCCATTTGATCCCTCAACCAGACTTATTACATCCCCTAAACTGATATCACTATGCGCCTATTCTCTCTCTCTATTTCTTTTCTAAAGAGAATTTCAGTATACTTCTGACCATCTATCGCGCTATCTTTCTAAGCCACAAACCGTCGGTATTAGAATTTATTAGTTACACTGATTTATGTGCGATTTGAGGGACAGCAATGTAAGTTCTGTATCGTTCTCCTGTCATCATTGAGCAGCGTTTTCTGACCTGACATCAGCACCGTGAGCAAATATCTTTAAAAAAATTATACATACATTCGAATAAACACTTTATTTGATATTATTGCTGAACTTAGTATGATTCTAGCTTCTAGAAGTCCTGATGAACGGACCCGTGGACAGGACGAAATACCAACGCAAAACGCAATAAATGGATTAACATAAAAGCAAAAATGGAAGAGAGAGGAGGAATTGTAATAAAATACATCAATTTCGTTCCAATTAGAAAAGAGGGATAAAAAAGGATAAGACCAAAATGAAAAAAATATTTATTATGTCGCCTGGCGTCCTCGGAAGATATCTGAAACAAACAAAATAAGTTAATTGTTAAATATTTATTTGTAAATTATTGTAAATATGGGCTTGTACGAGGACGATGTTTGAGCGAAAGCGACACGTGTCCTCGGTCCACGTGGCACATCTTCTGCACACCCGATCCCGTGTCAGTCATCCCCAAGTTATTACTTCCTAGGTTTTAAGAGGGCCGACCTTTGGTGAGGTGCCCTTGGGGGGAAAAAGAGTCCTTCTACCGGTGGTTGCTCGTTATTTGTTGTTGAAAAAAAAAAAAAAAAAAAAAAAAAAAAAAAAAAAAAAAAAAAAAAAAAAAGCTACAGACAATCTATACTTTTAGCAAAAATCAATCCGATCTAGATTTATTTATTTTTATTATATTTTATTCAATCAAAATATCAACATTATTGAAGCTGAATATTATTCTTAATAGTTGAACTTTGTTAATTTTGTTATTTCTCTAGGGATAAATCGCTGATAATAGGCTAATGCTGTTGATCAAGTTATTTCATTTACATTTACCTTTACAAATAATAAATCTTTTTTTTTGGTTATTTGCCGTGGAAATTGAAAATGAGGGTAATTTACCATTTGAAGCTCAAGCTCATTTATTTTACTTCCTACATGGCCAGTTTCGTTTACCGACCTCACAATAGTTTCACGGGGGCAACAACCGTGAACCAAAAAGAACCAAAACAAAACAAAAAAATCAAATCAAATCAAATACACCTTTTTGCACAAAATGAAACTGTTTTTACGGAATTCTTAGTTTTAGAAATTCAAATAATTATTATAAGGTTGCGAGTCAGGTGTTTTGGTTTATCTTTCCATGATGAACTTGCTTATGTATACTCTATTCTTTATGTGTAGTTTTACAAAACTCTTCAACATATTGGAACGAATATAAAAATGAAAACACTAGTTCTCCCATGTTGAAAAAATGTATTAAAAAATCGCAGAATTTTTTATTAGTTCGGTTGTATACAATTTAGAACGTTTTAGGTTAATTTTTGATAAAATGCTAACATATTCATCATTTATGCAGGAAATAAGAAATCATTGATACGCTTTCAAGGGATTATGCTAAAAGAATTAATCCAGGATGATGTCCAAATTCATATTTGACATTCACAAGAACATGCAATAAAGGAAGAATGAAAAAATACCCACATGTCCTATCATGGACTAAGATGTAAAGCGAGACGAGGCGGACCAAGATAAAAAGTGGGATCAAACTGTTTTGTCATTTCCTTTTAGTATATATATTCCTTATATATTTCGAACGTAAAAACAAGGCAAATTTAATAATTTTAACTAATCGTTTTTAAAATATGTATTTGTTGGAAAAAAAAATGGAGGACTTAGGGATATTGAACGCACTAGACATTGGCAGATTTTTTTTCCTTTATTATTTATAGTGTATTGATGCTTGACTGTAGAATAATAATTTATCACGTTTCCGGTGGTGGAATGGGTTTATAACGTTTTTATGGAGTAAATTAGGCGGAAACAGGAAAAAATCGAGTTCGATCAAAATATCACATATCCTGAAAAGTTGTATTTTTACAGTTTTGCAACTTTCGGTCCACTTCTGTCCAAAACGCTTAATCGTAATGAATCGATTTTTCGATTTGTAGAACAATAATATCGAACAATTGTAGCGAACGATTTGTTTAAAAGTACCCAGACGTGGAAAAATAAGGAGGGATAATTTTTTAAGGGAAAAAGTTGTAAAATGTTTAGTACAACTTTAGGTTGTTTCTCAAAATGAACGAATCATTATTTAAAAAAATACCGTTGCAAATTCATGATGTATTAAGAAAAATAAAACAAAAACGGGCTTTAATGTATTAAATAGATTATTAGAAAATGGCAACTTTTTCACCTCTCTTGGGACAGCTAAATGACCTTGTGGATTTTTTGTAATAGAGTAAAATTTTAGAGCTTGATGATTGATGATTAAAGAGAAAGGAAGAGTTGACTATCAACATTAAAAGCTATAAAGAAAAATTGGAATTAAAACAATAATAAGAGAAAAACCAGCAGTTCCGAAAGACGGTCGCTACTCCCTTAACCTAAATAGATTTTTCGCATCACATTTCAATTCTCATTTATGCATATATTTTGCATTGTATAAATTCACTTTTCCACGTCCTAAATGCAATTGTTAAATGTAAACATTGTTTGTAAATCCCAGGCCCTGAAGATGATCTCAATAAAAGATCGAAACGTTGGCACGATAAAGAAAATGTTTTTCTGAAACCTACATCACACCCGACCGCATCTCACGATATCTGAATAACTATCGATTAACGGTCACTAATCTCTACACATTTATGCATAAACATGTAATCAATTATAATATGACAAAATAAGGCTTACATGTCCATTATTTAGCATAAAAACAAGACAGCATTAATTCTTTTTTTATAAAGTTTATTTTAACGTTTCAGAGGGAGACCCCGGTAAACGAGCCACGTCTATCATTCGAAACGCGCCCACCTTCTCACAGTACTATTTCCTACAGAATTCCCTCATTTAAATTCTTAAGATTACCAAGAGGGACTATCGACTAGGATACTAAGAATAGTTTGTGATTTATTATTTCCTAGGAATTATTTAACTGGGATTACTTCATGAATATTTCAAAAAATAAAATTTAGGGGGTTGTTCGGGGAGAAACCAAACTATTCAAATTTAGTGTATACACGGATTTTAATTTGCTTACAATTTGTAACTTGTAAAATCTAGTCATTCGAGTATCTTAAATAATAATACAAGATAATATGTTAACAGCCCAATATATCGAGGATGGACGGGCCAAACTTTATAAATATATTATGACAGATTTACCATTGTATGAAACTGTCCATCTTCAGAAGAAATTATTTACCATCAAAGGAAGAAATTACTACTCTTCATGCAATTAATTTCATGCGTCCTTTGTGATTTAGAGGATCTGTGAATATTTAAGTAAAAAATCTATATTTCAGCAGCTCAAGGTAAAATTTCCTAGTTAGTTCTTAGAAGTACTGACAGATTTTTATGGAATATTTGCAAGTTATAAATAAGTAGAAATGCGAGTCATAAGTCTGGCCTCGTATTGAGACACTAACCTTTGCCGAGCCCAATCAACATTAAAAGGAGCTTTTAAGCTGAGGTAAAAAGAAAGAAGTCCCGCGATTCCAGTCGCATCGTTAGCAGGAAACTGATTAATGGCTGGAACCTGTTACCATTTGTCGCAAACGGACGGACGACTGTTTAACGACTCCTGCGGCATAAAAATACACATCGTTGCCCGTCATGCGTTTTCGCCTTCGCCTCCGGACAGGATAAATTACACAGCCGTGACCAATCCCCTGAAAAAAATTATATATACACTATATAGAGAAAAAATAGACGATGAAATCTTAATATAACGGCCAGTAATAATAATTTCTGGGGCGTTAAATGTAATAAGGTGTGAAAATTGTATCTACTCACTTATCACGGGCTATCTATCAGCGATCCCTCCGCTACATCGTTTGTAACAACTTAATTTCGTTATTCTCGTCCCTGGAACGAGAGAAAATTGAATTGGAATGATGAAATTAATAACGATGGCTGTTGAGTACTTCACACTTGACTCATTAAACTTTAATGAAAAAGAGAAATCCTTAAATGGCAGTGCTGAAGAGTAGTATGTTTTAATACATAACTATAAAAATAAATCGTAAACATTAAGTTTTTCGTCTGATTGTGATCATTTAGTCTGCCTCATTGTTTCCCCACTCAGGACTTTATAAAACAGACTCACAGAAATCACTCAGACAAAATGACGAACACCGAAATCTCGTGACAGACAAAAAAACACCACGCTAAATCGCGTCTGACAGACCAACCGAGCAAGGACCAAAATCAAAAAAATTTTTTTTTCATTTAATGCGTGACAAAAAATCTTTGTTCACAGTTACTTGTGGCAACAAATAAAAAGTCAGTTTCTTTCGAAATTATCGTCATATTAAGACAATAATATACATAAAATTTAATCCATTTTATTTAATGATCCGATTGACCAAATTACTTCTTTCAATTAATTAATCTTTGTATGTAAGGTTTTGGTTGAAAATGAAAAAGTTAGTGTCACGATCGGGATTCGAACACATCCGAGACCCCCACCCAGCCGTGAAAAATGGCAAAAAAGAGGTAAAATTGGAAAGGTTGTAGGTTGAGATGGTGAGTTCGTGTCTGAGTGGTAAGTAACGATAGCTCAAGTGGTTACACCAGTGGCGTATTGAGCCGAAGGTCGTGGGTTCGAATCCCGCTCGTGACACTAGCTTTTTCATTTCAACCAATACCATACATAAGATTAATTAATAAAAAGAAGTTATTTGGTCAATCGGACCACGAAATATAATGGATTTATATTAAAACCTAAAAATAGTTAAAATTCTATTTACAGAGAAGGTGAAAAACAATCAACTGATAATCCATCGTCTTTTTTTCAGTAAAAAAGTTTTCAACCGGCCTTCGTTTCTTAAAAGAGCCAATTATGCTTTCCATTCATTATAAAACTGCGCAACTTATAAGCTGTTCGTCCTTGCAAGCACTAGCACCCACCTGAGACCTCCCCGCCCGTGAAAAATGGCAAAAAGGAGGGAAAATTTGAAAGGTTGTAGGTTGCGACGGGGAGTTCGTGTCTTAGTGGTAAGTCACGATAGCTCAAGTGGTTAGACCAGTGGCGTATTCAGCCGAAGGCCGTGGGTCCGAATCCCGTACGTGACACTAACATTTCCATTTTCAACCAAAACCTTACATAAAAAGATTAATTAATTGATAAAATTTAATGTCGCAGAAAAAACTCTGGGGTCTTTTACTATCATATATTGCTAAAAGATTGTAAAATAACGTCATTCCTGAGTGCTTAACATCCAACCTTATCGTGTGTCATGAAAAAGTGCTCACATAAAAATAGTTTTTCTTTTTCAAATTATACTCAAATAAAATTTCTAGGGGATATAAGGATTCGAACCCAGAACCGTTAGGGTGGTAAATACGGAAGTCATAACGATCAGTTTACTGGCGAAATCATGATACCCTGCTGAATTTTCTTGCTGTTGAAGGAGAGCAGTGTGAAAATAAATATTTTACGGAGTTATTCATTTCTAGTTAGTCCCAGATTAATAATCCACGAACTCTGAAATTCACTGCAAATTGTTAGAAATAGTGAAAGTACACAAAATTGTCCAAGGGTGGCCCAACTTTCATAAATTAACCAGGCGTTCTTTTGCAGCAACACTCAGCCACGCTTCGATCCAAGGAAAAGTTTTGGTGAGAGAAACAAAAATCTAGAGTAACGCCATACAGTAACTGTAACATGAAAACATCATCATCGTCAAAGCGTTCCATCACATAATTTTTATCGTCACATCAAAGCCCTAATTGAACATAAATTGAAATGATTTTTCTTTCGTATTTTGTTTCCAATCCTATCATGATATCTTTACAAAATTTTGTTATTATAACTCCATTGAATATTTAAAAATTTTAATATTGCCAACCAAAAAGAAATTATAATGGGTAAAAACTGCACTGTTACAGATAGTCTTTTTTGAAAACAACAGCTTTTCTCTTCCTTGTATTCGGATTTCCAACTTTTGTCCCAATTAAACCTAAATTGTATGGGATCGAGTACTACAGTGGGTTATTTTTTGCAGATCAATTTTATTTAATATCAAAGAAATAATTTTTTTACAAAACGATAATGTTTTAATGAATAATATTATATTATACTTGAAAAAACCTAAAAAAACTTTTAAAAAATTAAGAAAATACTCTTGTGAATAAGATGCATGACATTATCATAATCAGTGAAGTTATAGATATGATATAACGCCGACAATGACTAGTAGAAAATTAATGAGAAAACAGGTTATTAAATACAATAATACACAGAAAAAATAAATGTTTCTAGTTGAAAATTTGAACTTCTCCATTGTCTTCGCTTATGGGGTGGTCTAGGGGTTGGTTGACCGGCCATGTGGCCTCCCCTATTCAAACCCCTCGCCCCGACCAGACCACCCCTTTGTCCTCAATGGGCACGTAAAACCTTTTGGCAAAACGTCCATTTTCCCCTTCTTCCTTTTTTCCTCAAATGGAAGGACATACCTTTGTTATTTGATAAATACAACTTAAACAAAAGCGACGATTCAAGGTTAAGACATGGTTTAGAAAACACACAAAAAAAAACCAGTCAGACTGAGAAGATTTGGTTCAAATAAACTAAAGTTTAGGTCTGTATATGCCTTAATTTGAAAGACTTGGGAAATATATTTTCAAACAATATAATTTGCAGGTAACAAATATTGAATAACCGGCAGAGTAAATCGCACCCCGATTCAATAAAGTTATCGTTATCGTCTTCCTACAATTCAAGCATTATAAACGGTACCAGGTTAATGTGAACCGGTAACCAGGTGCTAATAAGTAACATTAAGAAAAAATTATTAAAACTGAAAGGGATGACGTCCTTTACTATAATATTGAAAACATATTGTAAAATAAAAGTATTTCTTTCCTACAGGATGCCTTAATGTCCATTTGTTATTATTCCCAATTAAAATTCGAACCTAGAACCGTTTGTTTGAAAACTTTTGGAAACTTATGTAGTCAATATTATCTATATAGACGCATACGTTTTTTCATATCAGTTGTAATAATTTTACAAGTTTCTTTTGATTGTGGCTGATCTCAATTTTGTGGCCAAAACTATTATTCTATGACAATAATCTCGAAAAGTTATCTTTATTTTTTGTAATTAGGTCATTACTGATCATATTGGTAGATTAGAACGTTTCGGCGTTTCGCCATATTCAGTGTTGGGTCTGTGTGATTTCTGTGAACTCAAACCTCTTTCATATGGTCATGAGGAAGGATGGGGTGTATAGGTTGGTGCAAGTCATTTTTTAAAATTATTATTTTTTATAGGTCCTGTCAGTCTTTGTAATATGTTGTTTTTCATAATTTATTTTATTTTGTTATTTCTTTTAATGATGTGTTTATGACTGTTTTAGTAATAAATATGTTTGTACATGCCCTAATTTTCGCGAGTATGTTCACTTTTCATCCGTTTTGTGCGCCGTGTAATAATTTCATGATTTTTTTGTATTTTCGAGGATTTGTGGTAGCTTTCTCTTCAGTTTGATACATCTCATTAAATGTGTACCATGACTGCATCCCAATTTTTGTAAGCGATATGCGCAACTATGGGCTTTCAAAAATGGGTAAATTTATATAAGTTTTTAAAATTATTTTTTTAATATATATTTTTAAATTAGAAATGATACCAAGAACAATTAAATTGGTTGTGTATTTCCCAAGTTATTTTTAATTCAAAAACTGAGGGGTATTTTTTATCTTTAAAGCTGTTCATAACTAAAAACAATCATAAAGTTGATGATTATTAGCCCTAAACAGTCAACAAGTGTACTTTATTCTAAAATGATCAGGTCAGTTACATGCGATTCTTCAAGATTGGTGGCCTGTCTAGAGGAATACGAAAATTATGAAATATTTTATTAAGTATATTCAATCAACGCCTTAGATAAAAAGAATAATTAATTGAAATAATTAATATGGTCAATTACGACCGGAAAACGTATATCGATTAATTAAGCGTATTGTTTTATAATAATATATATGTATAATAATATACTATTCCACATAACAGAGTCCTTGGCTCCATACAAAGAGCGTGTAGGCATGCCGCCGGTTCTAAGAAGATTTGTCGAACAGGGTAGCGAGTTTCAGGGTCCCTGTTCCGCTTTGAATGGAATAGGGAATTTTTTTATTGTATATAGCCTTCAAAATATGTGTTTTGTGTTTCTGTATGAGTGAGTGTATTTATTAGAGTGAATGGGGAGGGGCTAATGGTGGAATCCCCATCGCCCCTCGAGCTGTGTAGTGACTTGGGTCGATGGCGGAATATTTATAAAAGTACCCCATCGTCCCCAATTAGATTAGTTTTTTATTGTATGCAGGTCGATGGAGAAATATTCAGTACTCCATCCAATCAAATAGAATGAATGAAATGTATATAGGTGTGAATATATTCTGCATGCGCTAACTGGAATGACCAAGCTGTCGGATTCCACTACTAAAAAAAAGGAAAAATATATAAATTAATAATAATATACTATTGTTTATTATACAATACTTTTTTATATTATATTGTGTTGTATTTTTTCATTCACCTTTCTTAATTTGCTTTTACTTATTACACATAATTTTAAATTTTCTATTCAATTTTTACAAGTTTTAAGGTAATCTGGAAAGAGTGTAAATGAATTGAAAAACCTTTGGAAATGGTTTAAACCCAAATGGAAACAGTTGAACAATAAATGGAAAAGCTGAAATTAAAATGGAAAAAGTTGAGATTATATCGAAAATTTGAAATTAAGATAGGAAAGTCGAATAATAACATTAAAAAAATCGAAATTAAAATGTAAAATGTTCAAATGTATTTGGAATATGTTTAAATATATTTGCAAAAAGTTGAAATTAAAAAAAAACTATAT